ATCACGGTCAATTCAGCTGATTTTATTTTGAAAAATGTGTCATTACTGATCATACGTGTGTTCAGGTTCCTGTTTCGTAGAGTGGTTCACAACCTATGTCCACAACGTGGTCACAGGAGAATATCCAATCATCAGAGACCAGATCTTCAGGTAACGCACACACACACACACACACACACACTTCCTCCAAGTTAAGATGTAAACTTGACTCGTGCACATTTGCGTCCACAGGTACGTGCACGATAAAAGTTGCGTGGCGACCACCGGAGACATCACCGTCTCTGTTTCTACCTCCTTCCTGCCGGAACTTTCCTCCGTCCACCCGCCGCACTTCTTCTTCACCTACCGCATCAGGTACGTGTCTGTGTCCACGTGTCGCCGGCGCGTCGAACCGCTCCTCAGTGTTTCCGTCTTTTAATCTGTGCGACGTCTTTTCAGGATCGAGATGTCAACCGGTGCTTCGCCCGAAGCCGCCTGTCAGCTCGACAGCCGCTACTGGAAAATCACTACCTCCGACGGCAACGTGGAAGAAGTTCAGGGACCCGGCGTGGTCGGTACGCTGCTCTCATCACGTGACCCCCCGCCCCCCCGCTGTATGTCTGAGCTGTGATTGGCTGAGATGAGCTGCTGACTGTGTTGATGTTTCTGTGCAGGAGAGTTTCCCGTCATGACGCCTGGTAAGGTCCATGAATACGCCAGCTGCACCACGTTCTCCACGCCGTCAGAGTACATGGAGGGTCACTACACCTTCCACAGACTCGGTAACTTTACTGTGAAGGAGCAGCAGGGTTGAGCTTCTGGTCTTTTATTGTGAAGAAGTGTTTTAAATGACCCAGGTTGTGTTGTTTGTTTGTTGTAGCCAATAAGGAAGAGGTTTTCCACGTGGCGATCCCTCGCTTCCACATGGTCTGCCCCCCCTTCAGGGAGCCTGTGGTACGAACGGTAAAATCAGCTGTTTGTTATTATCATGTAATACGCCTCCCATCATGCACCTGTGAAATGTTTTACTGTACTTCACATGTTCAAGCTGTTTTATTTTGACGGTTCGTTGTAGTTCATTGTTTCCTGTGCGTCATCCCTGCAGCACAAACCGTCAACCAGCTTCACACCTCGCCTCGACGACCACGACCCTGACGACGAGTACTGCGACGGAGACGGCGACGACTTCGGTGACCTGAGAGGAATCAACATGGCTGCGCTGGAGGGGGCGTGGTGTCCCCGACACATCTGACCTCTGACCCCTCCCTCGCCGCAGCGTGATGAACTTTATTCAGGCCTGGTTGGTGACTGACTCGGTTCCGTGTGCGGAGCGGCGGTCGGACGCTGAGGTGCAGTTTCCTTCTTTTCTTACAACTTTCTCTTTGTGATCAGAAACTGTCGGACGAGAAGGATGACACGATGATGTCATCGTCTTCTCCTCCACATTAAGGACGTCGTCGATCAATCAGCTGACTTCCTGTTCAGAGGTCGAACTTTGTTGTGGACCGAGGCACCAATCAGGAGCGAGTGGGAGCTTGTTGTTTTTGATTTTCCTCCGTAGAAAGATTTGGTTCTTCGTAGTTTGAATCTTTTCCACTGCAGGAACCCACCTCTGATCCTCTGCTGCCTCATCATTGATTCTTTTCATTGTTGATCCATCGATCGGTTTCTCGCTCTGATTTAAACATTTGAACAAAAACCAACAGATTCACTTTGCGACTCTGATCAGTCATTGATCAGTCAGTGTAAGAGCGCCCTCTGCAGGACCACAGGGCAAACTACTCACAGCACAAGATGGAGGCTTCATCCACACTGACAGAAACTGAGACTTTATGAAACGATGACGCCCGCGGTCTCTTCTGATTGGTTCTCATCAGTCACATGACTCCACTACCAGCTGTGAACACGAAGCGTCGCTAACACTTCCTGTCAGGAACAGTTCCACCGCGTCGTCGCGTGTTTACATCACATGACCAGGGGACGTGAACGGTCACGTGACGTGTGTTTAGTTTGAAAATGAAAGTTAAACAAACACGTCGTCATCATGTGCTCGGTTTGTTTTACAGTCAAATCTCTTGAATCAGTTTCTGATCAAGAATCACCGTCGTTCTTCTTCTCTTTGCTTGTTTCTCGTCGTTGACGTTAACAGTTTGATATAAGCTCATTTGTTTACCTCATGTCTCTGCACATTAAACCGTCAATGTTACGTCTTATTTTGAAAGGTTGTCACATTAGCTTCCTGCAGTGGAAACATAATAAGTGTGTCTTGTTTCCTCGTGTGTTTTCTTTAAATTGTGTGGGGAACAAACTGGGCTTTTATTTTGGAGGATGCTGCGTCATGCTTTTGTTCTCGGGGTGTTCTTCCCTCCTCGTGAGGAGGCGGCGGCGTTGTCACGCTCTGATGTGATTGGTGGGTTTGTTTTTGTATGTTTTGGTTAAATAAAAAAGAAACTGACAACTTTACCTGTTACGTGATCCTGAGCTTCATCCACTGGAGTTTAACAGAAGAAGAGACGCTGCGTTCACGTGCTCCTGAGTCGTTGGGACTCGTTCACATGCTTCAGACACGGATGCTTTAAACGTCACGCTGAGCTGGTTCCTGTCTTTGTTTCCCTTCACAATAAAAGCTGACATTTATTCTTCATTCCGTGAAACTCACCGACATCAACACGTTTCTTCATGTAACAGCAGTTTTTATTCAAATCTTCACAACGTGAACAACACTCAACTTTACAACAAATAAAAACTAAAGGTTTGTTTCGTCATGCTTTTATGAAAATGTAAAAAAAATTAAAATGTTTTTTAAAAATGGTGTATTTGTTAAAAGACAAATGTGACTCGGTTCAACAGAAGCAGATTGACTCCAGGAGAAAACGACCAATCAGAGGAGGCTGCGTTTGACTGACAGGCGTCTAACAGGTAACCCCTCTTGGCCCAACCTGTCCCAGGATTCATTGCACCACTAAACGTGAGGTCACAGCGCTGGCGAGAGACGAGTCGTCTGAAACTTCAGTTTCACGCTTCAACCGAACATGTTAAAAAACAAGACGTTAAAACTTTTCCTCAAGTCCAACTTCCTCTTTGTTGTTACTAGGCAACAGGATAAGGGGGCGGGACGAGCTGGTGACGCCAATCACAGAAAGCCTCTGTAGACCAGACGTCACAGGTTTGACCTTTGACTCTTCCTCTGCTGCAGTGAAACAGCAGCTGACTGGAGAATCAGCGCCACCTTCTGTTCACATCTCATATTCACTTCAGAACCAGAACGACATGATGATGGACGATGTGGTTCCTGGTCCTGCCCCGCCCACGTTCTCTCCTTCATTCATCTTCCTCTTCTTCTTCAATCACCTTCCTCTTCATCCGTCGTTTCCTCCCCGCTCTCGTCTGCTTCCTCTCCTCTCCCTCGTCCTCCTCGTGCTCCTCGCCCTCCTCGTCCTCTCCCACTCCTCCCGCCCCGCCAACCTCCCCCTCTTCCCGGGCGTTGCAGCGGCTGCAGTGCCTCCTGAACCCGCCCAGGTAGTGGGACCTGAAGCAGCAGAAGGGGCAGGCGTAGCGTCCGGGCCGATGAGCCGTCCTGATGTGCTGCTGCAGACGACTCGGCAGGAAGAAGGAGCACGAGCAGTCCTTACATCTGTACGGACGCTCCACGTCGTGGCTCCTCGCCACGTGGCTGATGGCGAAACCTGCAACACACAGGTACAATCACGTCAGCTGACACTCTATGTTTTCTACTGATTATTGATGGATAACTCAGTGGGGACCTTTCAGTTTGGTTTTCCAGCCACAGATGAGGCACACGAAGCGGTTGGACGTGAAGTTCACCACCTTGGCGGTGGCCTTCATCTCCTCCTTCAGCAGCTCCCCGGTCATCCCGGCCGCCTCGTCCTCCTCTGGCGAGCTGCTCACCGTCTGTCTGAGCGTGACGACGTCTCGCCTGATGGCCTGCGAGGCGTACGCTTTGGGGATGTCGTGTTTCTTCATCACGTGGTTGACGCTCACAACTTTCAGCTTGTTCTTCCAGCCGCAGATGAGGCAGCGGTAAATGCTGCCGTCGTACGTCACAATGTTTTCCTCTCCCTCGCCGTCAGGTTTCTCCTCCAACTCCGGGGGGGGCCCATCCTCATCTCTTCCTTCTTCCTCACTGCTCCTCTTTCTTTTCAGAGCCTCCTCCTCTCCTTCCTCCTCCTCACCATCATCTTTTATCTTCCTCCCTTCCACACTTTCATCTCCCATCTTCTCCTCCTCACCTTCATCTCCCATCTTCTCCTCCTCACCTTCATCTCCCATCTTCTCCTCCTCACCTTCATCTCCCATCTTCTTCTCCTCCTCCCCCTCGTCCCCCACCTCTCGTCCTCCTCCCCCCTCCCTGTCGTCCACACAGTGTTTGGAGATGATGTGCTTGTAGAGCTTGGTGAAGTCTCGGCAGGTGTAGAAGCAGACGGAGCAGTGGAACAGGCGGGCGGTGCTCTGGTACATCAGGATGTTTCCCAGGCGACCCACCACCTCGTCGTCCAGGCAGGTCGGGTGAGACGCCGCCATGTGAGACAGCTGTTGGGCGTGGCTCTTGGAGAATTGGCCACAGTGGGAGCACTGCAGGTGAGCCGCAACGCCACCGCCCGCCTCGCCACGAGTGTGTATGATGATGGACATCACACAGGCTGGACAGGCAGGAAACACACCCGACTGTCAAAATAAAACACAAAAGCTTCACAGTCACATGAGAGAAGCAGAGAAGAACTTGACGTTAAAGATTTTCAGACTGAATCAAATTAACACAAAACATCGTTCACTTCGTCTCGAACCTTTTAAAGCAGATTAATCAAATATAAGTGATGTTCACTGTGAGGTAATAACAATGGCTGCTGCGTTCCTAGTGTTTCTAAACGTGTCTCAAGGGAAATTTGATCAAGTGAATAATCATTATTAAGGAGAAGAGTCGTCATTAGCTGCAGCTGAACGTTTTTACTGATTTAAATCTCCGCATAGACGATTCATTTCTCGAACTCGAACCAGACTTCCTTTAATTTTCCGCAGTTTTAACAAACAGATTGAAACAGTAAAAACACTGTGGCTCCTGTTGAACTGAAACTAATCTGAACTGTGAATCACTGTTTCCCGCTTCATTCCGGGTTCGTCCCGGGACTGTGACCGGGACGTCTTCGCGGTAAACATCAGCTGCGGCTCCACGGTTTGGAGTAAATGTATTAAGGGACCGCAGCTAACAGGCTAACTGGATGCTAACTCCCGCTTTAAAACCCTTTGCACCGAGTTCCTCACCGACCTGTTGGAGTTTATGTCCGAACAGAACTGAACCAGAACCCGCATCGACCGGACCCGGGAGAGGAGTTCACCCGGGAGAGGAGGTCACCCGGGAGAGGAGGTCACCCGGGAGAGGAGGTCACCCGGGTGAGTTTGCACGTTAACCCGGGTTCAGCTCCACTGAGCGACTGAAGGTCTCAGCTTCCGTGTTTTCCTCCCGCACAGCCAATCAGCATCCTCCCCCCGCCTGACGGTCAACCAATCACAGTCCCCCATTAACACAGCATTCAAAATAAAAGCGCAGACATTTTATTTTGAAAGGATTTAACAGTCTAACCCTAACCCTTTAAAAAAAAAATGATCCAAACGTGAGTTTTTCATCTTATAAGAGAAGAAAATATCCAAGATGAAAACTTCCAACCTGAGATGAATAAAGGTTTTCAGAGTAAAAGCTCTCACCGTGATAACACATAAAAACA